TCAATAAAATGTCGCACGGTAGGTAGTACATGCAGTTGCACGGAGGCTGTCCAGTCCACATGCACCTGCTGGTCCTCATAAAACAGGGCAGCTCCACGTGGCTCGTTCAAACATTTTGTGAATTTGTGTGCGAGACTCATCGAAGCGAGTTTCATGCCACGTTCTTAGGTGCAAAACTTTTTTCGGGTTTATGTTATTTTTCAAATCGACTTTTGAAAGTGTTACGTTGGTGGGTGCCTTCCAGAAGGAGAATATTTCAACGATCTCTAAATATTTTCTTGCAATTTTAGTACACAAATATCAAATTTAAATTTCCACAATTCACTTTCCCCACTAAAACTCTCGCTCCAGGAGGTTACTCCGTACTTATTCTCGAATGAACATGTTTTGGTTTTATTTTTTATTTGATTCGGTCCCTGAAAGCAGCAGTTTAATTGTTTTGTAAACATGATGAAATTAATTCATATTTTCACTTCCTTTCAAAATTTCTGCAGTAGACATCATCGCTTTGCTGCCATGTTTGGTTGCTATGTGGAATCTTCGATGATTTATCATCATTTGAAATAAAAATAATTAAACTTTTAAAAACTGTTAGCAGCTCCAGAGTCTTATGAAATTTTTTTTAAGTAAAATAAGACAGCGTTTTTTAATGAAAAACAAAATTCAAAATTATTTAAAAAAAAATGTTGATTTTGGCAATGATTTGAAAATGAATTTAAAGAAATATTTTTCAACATGCTATTATAAAATGAAGAAAATGTTTGAACATGTTTTAAACGTCAACAAATTCTTTATAACACTTTTGCATGCTGAAGATTATTGAAGAATTTAATTTACATCTGAATTGTTATACCTTCCACCTCTTGTTATAAATTGTTAGTGCTAGAAATAAATGTCATCACCAAATGGTCGCTAATCTTTTTCAATAATTTTTTCCAGACCGTAAGGAAATTCATCTGAGTGGAAGAGTTGAAAAGAGCGAAGATTAAATCAGTTTAACTAATGCATTGGCAAGGCAACCTTTCAACTGTTCGTAAGTATGCGTCGGTTCAAAGTTGTTACTGCTTGACTGCCGCGCGGATCCAACTGGTGGCCCACTGGAAGTGAGGCTCCAATACAATAAATCACTTTTCCATTTTTTAGTTATTTCAATGTCAATGTTATTCAAAGAAGGTGTGGAATGCTTGACTCGATATCTTTAGGAAAACAAATTAATCAAACAAACACACAAACAAACATACATACATACATACATACACGTTCGCTCAGCTGGTGTCGGCTTTCACATTTTTAGTATTTCGCTAATTTTTAGTAATATTTCTGGTTTTTAAGGTTTTTGTTGCAATAATTTCGGTTTTTTGGGTGTGGTTTTTATTGGTTGTCGCTTTTTTGCCCTTTTTCGGATTGGGTTCCCGCCGTTCGGTTGGTTTTTTGACTTTTGTGGTCTCAAATTTTTAATTTTGGCTTTAACGTACTTTAACAACAGCTGTGGGCTTTTACAGCTGCACCGTACAATGCTCATTAATATTTATTTTTGTTCTCTCTATTTCATTCTCAGTTTTTCTTTTAATTTTTAAATTTATTTAAATTTAAAATTAAACCTTTTTATTTTCACCACAATTTTATTTATTTTATTTTATCACTGTTCACACGGTTTTATCTACTCGCTTTTGATTTTATTTCGTTGACGTAATGGCACCGGTCCTATATCAATGCACGGTTTGTTTAAATCATTATAAAATAAAACCGGACGGTAAACTATATCGACATGGAGGCAAAGTGAAGGGCCAGGAATGCCCTGGTTCGTTCAAGGCAGCCGACCAGCCTCCGGCTGGTTCATCTGCTTCCGCGCGACCGCCGCTTACCGCTGCACCTGTCATCAACCCTCATGTTGCTACACGCGGTCTCGGAGAGTCCCTCCCAAGTGGATTTTTTTCATGTTTTCGACAGGCTGACGGTCGTTTTGAGGACTGCCCATCTGTATGATCACGTTCCCAAACCGTGCAGAGACAAGGTATCTAAAGCATTGTCGGCTTTATTGACGGCCGTTTGCGATGATCCCTGCGACGCGGCCCATTGGTGCAGGCTCCAATGTTTTTCCGCATTTGTTTTGTTCAAGCCAACCAGGGGCGGTCGCAGGACTAATCAAGCCAATTACGTTATTAAACGGTTGACCGAATTCAGTTCGACCGAGGTCGAGTTTATTGTGGCAAGCTTCAACACTGACCACAACACCAAACCGCGTAAGCACAATCCAAACAGTTGGATTAGTGCAGTAACCACTCGGATTGAACAGGGCAGTCTCTCGGCGGCCGTCAGACTTGCTTGTTCGCCCGCAGGCCTGGCGGAGAGCTCGCCTGAGACACTCGCTAAACTCAAAGCTATTCATCCCAGTGCTCCATTGAACAGGCGAGCTTTCCCCGCGCAGGAGCCGTCCAATGGTCGCGTTTCACCAGCCCAGGTGTTGACGGCTTTAAAGTCGTTTAATAATGGTTCATCGGGAGGCCTTGATGGCTTGAGGCCTCAGCACATAAAGGATTTACTTTCCGGTCCGACGCCCACCGATGAATTGTTAAATAACCTCACCCGGTTTGTAAATTTGTTGTTATCTGGGGTCTGCCCTCCCGCGGTTAGCCGTTTCTTTTTTGGGGGCCGTCTGGTGGCTTTAAACAAAAAAGATGGAGGGATCAGACCCATCGTGGTGGGGAATTTCTGGAGGAGGCTGGCCAGTAAGTGCGCTCTGGCGCTAGTGTTGGAACAGGTCAAAGCCAAACTCTATCCTATCCAATTGGGCGTCGGCGTGAAAGGTGGTGCTGAGGCGGCCGTCCACGCCGTACGTGAACTGATTTCAGCACTTCCAAAACAGTGGGGATTCTTGAAGATTGATTTCAAGAACGCTTTCAACACCCTGAGAAGAGACTCAATGTTAGAGGCAGTTAAGCAGCACTGTCCTCAAATTTATAATTTTTGTCATTCCGCATATGGCCGAGTCTCTTCTCTCGGTTCTCTTGAACCGTGCGAGGGCGTACAGCAAGGCGACCCTTTGGGACCGATGCTTTTTGCTCTAACCCTTCACCCGCTGTTGACGAAGTCATCCTCGGCGTTTGTTTGTGGCTACCTGGACGATGTCAGCTTGGCCGCAGAGGGCAACATCTTAGCGGACGACTTCCTGTCGCTGAGGGTCGGCGCTTCCATCATTGGTCTTGAATTAAACACAAACAAGTGTGAACTACTTGTAAATGACACGTTTCAAATGCCACACGTGCTGGCTAATGTCCCCACAGTGCCTCATTCATCATTAAATTTTTTAGGCACTCCAATGATGGCCGGCGATCATCAGGACAGGTTTTAATAAAAAACTTTTTGAGCTAAGATTTGCCCTCGAACGTGTCTCTCTTCTCCCGGTCCACGACGCGCTGACAATCATCCGCGGCGCCCTCAGTTTGCCGAAATTGATGTATTTTTTGCGCACATCCAACTTTGTTAATGCGGCCATTTTGGGCGAATTTGAGGGTGCTCTGCGGGTGGCCCTCTCAGCAATATGTAACGTCGATATTACCGACAAGGGTTAGTCTCAGGCTCAGCTGCCGGTACGATTTGGGGGACTGGGGTTACTAAGCGTGGTTCAGCTTGCATCAATTGTTTATAAATCTTCCGCATCTGCCACGCTTGACCTACAGTCTGCCCTTCTTTGGCAATTTAGTAGCCTGCACTGTACTCCACCGACTCCAATCCAACCAACAGACCTTTCCCAGGGCAACATTTTGGAGGAAGCATATAAAGGCACATTCAAAGAGTTGCTTTCCTCAAGCCCTGACTCGGCGACCTCAGCTCGCTTGCTGGCAGTTTCCAGCGAGGCGAGTTGCGGCTGGCTGAGATCTTTGCCCAATACGTCGGTGGGTACCAGATTGGACGACGAAACGGTCAGGACAGCCATTGGCTTCCGTCTGGGGTTGGCCGTTCAGAGTCGATATACATGCAGGTGCGGCGCGGAGGCGGATGAACTTGGCCATCATGGTCTTGTTTGTCGTTTGGGCGGAGGTCGCCAGCAGCGACATTCAGCCATAAACGATTTTGTATGCCGACTTTTTTCCAAGGTCTCAATTCCGGTTTTAAAGGAACCGTCGGGCATTGCGGCGCACGACGGTAAGTGCCCTGACGGGTGTACCTTGATCCCTTGGAGAGCCGGCAGGTGCTTGGCGTGGGACGTTACCGTTCCGGGCACCTTTGCTGAGCGCTACGTGCAGCTTACTAGCAAAGAAAGCGGTTTGGCTGCAACCAGGGTATCTGACGAGAAGATCAAAAAGTACGACGGAGCTCTCCCCTCGATGGAGTTTTTACCGATTTGTATCGAGGTCCTCGGCCCCATGGACCGTAACACCTCCGGGTTTTTCAATCGGATTTGTAAAAATATCAGTATTAGGTCAGGCGATAGTAGGGAATATTTTTTTGCTATGAATAATATCTCGTGCATTCTGCAGCGGTTTTTGCGCGTCTGTGTGTTGGAAAATGTGGAGTTGAATGCCGAGGGGGTTGAGTGACGTTATAGCAAATAAAATCAAATTTAGTCAGACGCTTGGCTTTTGGTGTCATTCGTCAATGATTTGGTTTTAACATACATACATACATATATACATACATACATACATACATACATACATACATACATACATACATACATACATACATACATACATACATACTTTCGTTAAATTTAAAATTAATTTGTGTTTAAATTGGCGAAGTGGAAAGTTCTAAGCTTGTAATTGTTGTAGGATTGTTTGTACTGTACACGCGTTATAGCTTGGCAAACTTGTGTTGTTGTGTTGTGTCTTTTTTTTATCGTGTCGATTTTATAGACTATATCGACTCAAGAATTGTTTGAGTAGATACTGTTTACTGATCTAAAATTTTGTCAATTTATATCACACGTTTACACAACTTGTCGGCTTGGATAACGCGTTTACTAAAACTTCAATTAAACTTTCGATCTGGTGATGATGGCTGGTAAAGGAAGATCTACGAAAAATTCTAATAGCGATGCTCTACGATGTGAAAAAGAATCAACAGATGTTCAGTGTGTTTGTTGTGGGATTTCGTTTGCTGTCGGCATGACTGAGGAATCGTTAGAACTATTGAAGGCATGTGATAACGTCAAATTTGTGTGTGATGAGTGCTTGAAGTCACCATCAATAAAGGATCAGATCATCAAAACAGTTGAGAGTGGAAAAGCTGAGATATGTGACAGGATAAACAGCTTAAGTAAAGAGATTAGATCAGAAATCGATGCAATCAAGGTAAAATTGGAAGCAAATGAAGGCAAAATGTCTGGATTGGATGTCCCTGGATCAAAGCTCTGTGATGAGATTTCGAACTTTAGAAATGAAATGACCAGATCATTTGCTAGCGTGGTCAGTTCTGAGGTTGTGAAAAGTGTCCAAATCATAAACGATGATGTAAAAAAAGTGCAAAAAACGTTAACCAATGTAATGGAATCGAAGGAACGAGAGGCAAATATAGTGGTTTTTCGACTGAGTGAAGGAACGGACGACAGAAACAGGGTTTGCAAGATAATCAGTCATCTGACCGGTGGTGTCTGCGGTGAAACAAACATAATAAAGTTGGTACGACTTGGTAAGAAAAATGATACGGTGGTAAGACCAATTTTGGTAAAGTTTGATGATGTCAAGGTGAAGGAACTCGTTTTCAAAAATGTTTTTAAAATGAAGTCAGTAGGCGATAATCTGTCTCATGTTGGTCTGAGTCATGATCTTACTGTTGAGCAAAGAGATGAACTTAAAAAATTGGATGGACGACGCCAGACAGATGGAGAAAAACTCAACGGAGGGTTTTTTATACAGAGTGCGAGGAGACGTAGGAAAAGGGAAAATAGTACATTTTCCTGCAAGGAAAGAGTCAAACTGATGAATGGACGACAAGGGCCTGGATATGAGTTATGCAGTTTGATCAAATGTGGTAGTCACGGTTTCCACAGTGGTGGTGATGATAACAGCAATTCTAATGAAAATTTCAATCTGGGTTTGTTAAATGTTAGATCAATTGCACGTAATGTTGACGGGATTTATGGACTAATTTGTGATGGATTGGATGTGTTAGTGTTGACTGAAACTTGGCATGGCTTGCCTGGGAACAACTCTGTCAGTGCTGCTATGCCACCGGGGTACTGTTACGTGGACTTTGTCAGGCAGCATGATCCTGGCCACGGTGGACTGGTCATATATTTCCGCAAAGAGTTTGGTTGCAGAAAGATAAATTTGCCTTCATTTGTAACGTTTGAAGTTGTCGCCATTAGATTAGTAATCAATAAAAATCAATTCATTCTTCTGGGTGTATACAGGCCTGGCTCGGCACAGATAACCGTTTTATTTTTTGATGAGTTGGTGTCAGTTCTAGAGCATATAACGATGTTAAATGCAAATATTTTACTGATGGGCGACTTTAATGTGCATATCGAAAGGAAAGATGATCCAAACACCATACGTTTATTTGAAATATTTGAGGTCTTTCAACTAGTTAATCATGTTAACGAGTCAACGCATTTACGAGGTGGGACATTGGATCTGGTTGTTAGCTCCGTTGATTTTCCTATTATTAGTACTACAGTCTTACCTCATGGAGTTTTTTCTGATCACAGTTTTATAACAGTTGAAACAATAATTGCTAAACCATGTCGTATCCCAACAAAAAGGTTTGTCAGATCATGGAAAAATATTGATGAGGATAGATTTGTTGAAGCTGTCTTAAATTCTCCCCTGTCTGGTTCTTGCCTCAGCAATGATGTTGATGATGAGCTAAAAATTTTTAATGAAGAGTTGAAGAGTATCATTGACAGGCTGGTACCCAAACGGGTA